AAAATACAATCTATTGATGTTATCAAGTAACTATAAATAATTAATGGCTTAAATGGCGACTATGGAGATATAACCAAAATGGGTCATTCGTTATAGAGGTTTGACTGCATTTCTAGAAAAAGTGAAACTAAAAGTCAATTCTTAGCAAACTCCTCCCAAAGTTTTTCATAATTGGTCCTACGTCACCTTCTAAGAAGAAAACTTGCTAGAGCACTAAAACTTTCCATTGTAAGCCTTTATTGAAGAGTTACATATAGATATACAAATTAACTCGTTCCTTAGGAAGAAAATTTTGAATAGTGCATACAATAATTATTTCTTTTCTCAATTTCATGTACTTCACCCAGCATAACAATTCTCGATTCATATCCTCCCCACGAGAGTATTCCATTTCCGCAACAGAAAGGAATTGAATCCATGAAGCGAGTTACAATTTGTCATACATAAAATGGCATAAAGTGAATCGAGCGGCCAAAACATTTATGTTCTCTCAATTAATGATCTAAGAAATGGTAATGCTGTCATGTGATAACAAACAATTTGATTCCTTAGTATGTCATTATAAAAATTATGATTGGCATTAAGGTGTTAATTTGGGATAATCTGAAATTTGCATTACTAATTTAACTAAAACTTCGTACAACAAATTTCCGGAATTTACAGGAAACACAAGGTTAAACCGACATATGTATATAGTGGAAAATCAGGGTGTGTTTTTTAGCGCATTTATTCTTTTATTTTATATACATACACGAGAGTATATTACAAGTATTTAAAGTTTATAGTGTGTAACTTTATGGCATAGAGTTTCATCATCTGTCAAACTCTTCTTTTTTTTGCTATTCTATTTATGAACGTTGCCTCTTACCACAGATTTTTATATGTATTTTAACTTTTTTATGGTTATTTGCGCCTTTAAGTTACCTTTTAAGTTTCATTTCGCGTTTTGAATTGCGAGTATTTTGTTTTTGCGATATATATTTCTCATTCGTAAAACATCAGTGTCGTTTTCTATTGTGCCCATTATAGAATAAATAACGCACCGGGGGGATGCCCAGAAAAATTGGTTATCTATCTATCGAGTATATGGATGGATTAAAAAGTTCAAACCAATATGATGATTTGGATTTCCTCTATGAAATGTGTCACGAAAAACGCCTAAACTTTTTTGTTTGATGTTTTATCTGTCTGTTTGTTTGTTACGCTGGCTGATATTCGAAAGTTTGTGGCGTTTAAAAAAAATATATTTAGAATTTGGTTACGCCATAATGGTAAAATATTGATTTGGCTCTTCGATAATAATAACGTGAATTTAATGTGATAAAAATCGATATATATTTTTATCGTGTTATTGTTTTTGAGACTTTCTTTGGGTTTAGTTTTCACTGAAGTTTCTTATTATGCTAAGCAGTCTTGCAAATATTTAAAAACACACTGATTTATATAAAATTCCCTATTTTGAAGTTTTTGAAGTGGGGGGTCCTGAGAAAATTTAAAATTTGTTGCTCACGTAGAAATGTTTGTCTTAATGAAGCAGGTTCAATAAAACAAGTATGATTGATATGATATGAATGTCGATTTCTAATCTCCGTAAAGTTTCTTTGTTAGAATTCGCCAGACTTCGATTTGACCAACCCAGTGATTAATTACATAATTTTATTATTAAAACACTAATTCATTGAAATTATATATCTCACTTCTCTTAAAATGCTGGGACTAGGTAAGAAACTAATCTTTGTTCTACGTATATTCTCATGGGTAACTAGATCTAATACACAAAATGAAAACGAGGTATCAAAATCCGTCAAAAGAAAGCATTATTATTATAGAACACGTATCACGTGAAGAGATTTTTATCGGGAAATCACATGAAAAAAGCCTGGACAAGCAATATATGTAACTTTAACATGATATTAGAGCATGATGAATACATTGCATTACATAAGTTTTTTGTGTTTATTTTATTTTCTTTTCCTTTTTCCAAACACCAATTTTTTTCCTATTCGCGGGTCGATTACACACACGAGACCACATATTATCCCACGGTATCTATATTACTTTTCCGCATCCGAGGAATAGACTTTACGCACCCATGCATTCATACATGCCTACAGATGCTCAAACATATCGTACATGCAATTCTCCTTAACTTTCTTCTTTTCGTTCCCCTCGTTTTCACGGGCACTCTTCACTTCTTTTTTGGTTGTTTTCCACTGGTCAATCAGAAATCTCATCCATCATTCAAAGTGGCCGTGACGTAATACTTTAAAGCAAATAACTGCAACTTAAATTACCGGTTACGGTGGTTACGCAAGACCGAAAAACAAACTATGTTTCTGCTTGCACGAAAAAAAAACCCACCAACCACCATCTTTATCCCTGCCCATTCATTCATACATTCATTCCGGTTTTACTTCCTTTTTTTGGAAGCATTTCTAATACATGAATATTTACGAAAAAACATAGCAGAATTGTCTGGCGAGAATAAAATATTGTTCTCTCTCCTGAAAAAGGAAAAAATAATTAAATTAAGATTCGTAATTACAAATTAATGGTTGAATGAATACTTGTAGACATAATATATGCGGGAAAAAGTTCGCCATTTATTTATTGCAGGTATTATTATTTATTATTGCTTAGATAAGATTATAAAGAAAGAAGTTGAATAGGCCTAATGGGGCAATAATACCCGTTCTTTCCTCCGTCTTCTCTTTCCTTTTCAAATATATTTAAACTTTTGCATCCGAGAAAGTGACACAAGAAAAAAACAAACTCTAAATTTAAAACATGGTGGTGGAACCGAGATGATTGGTGGGTACACGAACACAAAACCTTAAAGGTAATTCAAAATCTAAAAATAAAATATCATTTGTAGTTGTTGTCATCTTTTTTTTCAAGGGTTTATTTATTATTTATAGGATGATAAAAAGAAATGAGGTCACCTGACGCGATTATTTGAATTTTCACGAAGAAAAAAGAAGGTTGAGCACATGTATGCGAGTACATGAAAATTATGTAAGAGAATAAAGAGAGAGAAGAATCAAACCGACGTGGATCCATCCAAACAAAAAATAACAGTACCAATATATTTTTAATAACATTATGCTTAATTTACTTTAATCGTGCGTGTGTTAATTACTTTAATTAATTAGTTAATTAAATGTCAATAAATCAAATCTACATCTACAACAAAACAAAGAAAAATCAAACTAAGATGATGATGATGACGATAACTACAAAAAGCGATTAATATATATTGTTTATTTGTCAATTTAATTATGCATAAATAAATAAAAAAGAATAGATATCCGAGAAAATGCAATTCGTCCAGTTGATAAATAATATACAGTAATATGATAAATAAATAAATAAAAATAGAAATAGAAAATAGGTGTTACTTACTTCAACATCTAAACCAACAATCGAGTAGTCTCAAAATAAAAATCAAGCTCTAAAAACAAAGGATCAAATACCCTATTTTTAAGAATATGATTCAAACACAAACATAAATATATGTTTTATTTAATTAATTTACAACCCACCCTTACCTTCTCTCACTTGCCCTCCTTTTTTTGCTCCAAACCAAATCTCGCAGCATTCATTACACAACACTTTTGTTGTAAATACATCAATCCGAATGTATATGTATGTACGTGTGTGTGATTGCAATCACTGCCATTACAGCTCTTTGATATTATCATTGTTATTTTCACACACATAACCCATAATCGTCACCCTCATTTTTAAACATTCACATTTACATTCAAACACAAATCTCACACTCTCGCACACAACACTTGCACACACATTTTATTTTATCTTCCCTTTCCTTCTTCTTCCCACTTTTTTTTTCTTTTTCTTTTCTTTTCGATTTTTTTCTTTTTTGCCCGCGAACGCGATTTATTCTCTGTACTCAGCGCTTTTCTCACTTTTCTCCCTCTCTCTCTAAATAAGAATTCACCAAAAATTTGTGGTCATTGATTGATCATAGTGTCTGGTATTATTAGATAGAGATTTACATTTTGGAAAAGACGAAAATAGACTACTAATATTAATAAACAATTATCTTAATAATCATTAATACTTTTACACTTTAATAATATCTAATCATAATAGAATAATACTCTTCTACTTACTACTACTACTACTACTACTAATAATAGATAATAATAATAATATAATAATAATAATAGTAAAACAACAACAGCAACAATATTTCTAAGCTTTCTCGAGACTTTCGTCTTAATTGTTCTTATTCGACGTGCGAAAGAAAAGAAAAAGAAACAAGGAAAAGGAAAAGAAAAGGAAAGAACGGAACAACGAAACAAAAATCATATAAGATACATATCGCACACCGAAAGGGAGATTAGGAAGAAGCTTTCGTTACTTCTTCTCAACAAATAGATAATCAGTCTCTCCAAAAAAAATAATCATCGACAAGACGAGCGACAACTTTCATTATTAGAGTAATATATAGAATAGAATAGAAACTACAGCAAACAGCAACAACAACACTGTACCAACAACTATTAGCAGCATCACATAAAAGTTGTCGCCTCGACTTCTCATTTTTACGTTCACATCACATTTACATACACATTTCACACTCCAAATATATATATAGTACGCACATTCACACTTTTTGTTATATACTACTTTTCAAAATATATATATATATATATATAAATAAAATATAATATATAGTATATATTAATAGACTATCAGGTATGTTGTATTTTTATGCTTAAGGGTAGAGTATCAAAAAAAAATACGCTCAATGATATATGTGTAAAACTGTTATTACAAAGCATCACCTTCAATACTACGCCAATCGATTAGTAATAACCAAAAACATATTTTAGTTTGATGACCTTTTACTAACTTTATTTTTTTTTCTTTATTTTCCCACCATTCTCAACAGAATCATATAGACTTTTAATCATAATAGTAATAATAATAATATTAGCACAATAGTAACATTCAAACACCAATACTCAAAAATGGAAACTTACTTTGGTTACGTAAAAACACCACAAGATGCGATATTACTGTTCGAAGCATGCCGTATGGGGTACCTGGCTCGTATACAGCGCCGTCTATCCGAAAGAGAACGATCAGCCATACGCTCGGGTTCAGTATTCGTTTGGGACGAACGTGAGGCCGGAATGAGAAGATGGACCGATGGAAAAAGTTGGTCGGCCAGCCGAGTAAGTGGAAGTTTTCTCACATATCGTGAGTTAGAGTCGAAACGAAAGACCAATTCGCGGGGAAGTAATAATCCGAATGACTTGTCAAGTGAGGATACGGATTCCAGCGAATCATATAGTAATAGCGGGAAAAAGATTGCCTCAACCACGGAACAATGTCGATATAAACATGGGGGATTGGTGAAACAGTCGTTCAGCATCACAACAAATAATCATCAGAAACTACATCTGATCTGTTATTACACCAAAGCTGATGTCATTGGCGAGAAATTACAGATTCCATTGCAGGATGAGAAACTTAAGATTCCGATCCCAAAAGGAATGTATCCGGAAACTCAAAATGTTGATGGTTCCGTTGGTCCACATGGAGGTCATTATCCGTCACCTAATAGTTCACATCATGGTCATCATGGTCATCATCATCACCCTAATCATCATCACCATCATCATAACTCTAATTTCGGATCAAGTGATAACCGACTCGAGAGATCCTTATCACCGAGTCCATATAGTTGGCAATTACCGCAACCAGCAGCCGCTCATCTGCCTGGCAGTCTACCAAATACACTTCTTCACGGTGGCAATAATTCTTCACATGCTCATCATCAACATCGACATTCCTCAGGTGGACAAGAACCCATGCAAATTGATACTCCACATTCAGCATGTTCTACTCCATCAATTTCATCTTCACCCTCGACAATCGAAGAAGATTTCAACGATTATCATCGTCGACAGAATCCACTATCGGCAATTGGTGCACATCTCGGTTCAAATTCAAATGGATCAAGTATATCATTACCGTCATATCCACCCGCCAATTATATTCAATCAGAATCCAATTCTACAACCGGAGCGACTTTCTCTGGCGGATCACAGCCAATAAATATTCCTGCTCCCGGAAGATACGTATTCCCACCGCCACAACAAGCTCCATTCCCATCCTCATATCCTCCTCATTCTTCGTCACATCATATCCAACAATCAAATAATAATAGCAATGGTCAACAACTACCACCACAAGATATTCCTTGGGAAAAAATCAGGAATAGCGAAGATCAACGACAACTAAACGCAATCTATACAACGCTTAAACTTTAACAACAACAACAACAACAACAACAATAATAATAATAATAATAATAGTAATAATAGTAATAATCATTTAACATATTTAGAATTTATCGAAAGTTTGGTTTCAAATAATTTCTTTTTTAATTGAACATCCTTCTTAAACAGTGGATATTTTTATACATAAAACCTACACGTTATACATCTTTAATTCTTTTCTATTCGGATGGAGGACAATAATATAATTTTGTTTCATTTCATTTACTTGGTCGGTTTATCATCATTCGGCGCGGCGAATTAACCGTGTCTCGGCAATAATCATCATCACAATCACGGGAAATTTGTAAAAAGAACTATAATGAATCAGAAATAAAGAACAAACAAAGAATCAATTGATCGATTGCAAATGGATCTTTTCGATGAATGATAATATCAATAAAAAATAATACCCTTGGGCCGGTTCCCTTATCAAAGAGCCAAGTTTTTAATTGGTGTTTATCATTATTCAACAATATCCCCTGCAATGAAACGGTGCTTTATTATTGACCGACAGCCATCATATACACTTATTATTATCCTTTCATTATCCGCATCATTTCATATTATTCATTATATATCAACATCATCGCATTACTTTTGTTCTGTTTTATTATTACCTTTTTATACATGTACAGATTCTAAAAATCTTAGGTTTTCGTTTTTTTCTATTACATTATTATTACTGCTATTATTATCCCTATTACTACTATAGACTTTATACACATGTATCCACTTTGTTATTATTTTTTTCGATTGTTAATGTTTGGTTCAGGTTAGGGTTAGGTTAAGCGGTGTTTCTTCGTATCTATATTGTATTTTATCTTTTTCCATTAGTATACATGCATCTACACATACCCATTTAATCAATCAATAATTGACGCATTTTTCCTTTTCTTTCCAAAAATAGATAGACACGTGTAATTAACGTACATGCGAAGTGTATTTGTGTTCGCGATGTGACGTGTTTAGCATACACACAGAATGACACTCGCGCACACACCAAATCCATTATATACATACCTCGACCACATTTCTTTAGACTTTATAAATATATACATATATAGATTAGACGTACTATACTGTTACTATTACGATTAATTACAATTTAATTTGATCTTTGACTTGGTGTCATTTATTATTTTGATTGTGATTTTACTATATTGATTGATCTCTTGTTTGGCTAACGACCCTCCCCGTCACTAGACCCATAGATTGTATCCTTGGGTTATAAACGCAGCAAACCAGGTCCATAGAAAACCAGAAAGTATATTCTTTTGTTTACATATTAGAAATCTCTTCGTACCCGTATTTTGGATACGATCGAGACTTGTATTTTAGCAAAAACTAGTACTTACTTTAAAGGACACATTTTTGCGCTCGCCATATTTCAGAGTCTGTTAAAATTTTACTGTCAACGCGCGTTCGCGCTTAAAATTGACATCCATTGGCCAATGAAACGCCAATCCAGTTCATACGACAAATATCTAAGGTTCACTTGAACATTGCATTAAGGAACACAAATTTACCAGCTCTTTTGAAATATATTAATACTGCTCAAAAGGAAGACGTCATTAAGGTATAATGAATGAGGATGATACGGTCTTATTAATGGTATACCCGTCTATCTTACATTGACATGATGAAATAAGATTCAATGATCCTATGCTGTTATTAGTTATGATTTTTGTAGAACAATGGCGAAAATTTCAAAGGCTCATTATTTGAACTGAATATAATAGCCTTTTTTAGATGATATTTCCATAAATTGCAAAGATGGAGAAAAAGTTAATTTAAATTCCTTTGCTTTGTTTTTACTTCTATCTGAAATGATCGTGGAGAACACCAAGATAGTGAGGGACTCGGATCGGAAAAAATTGGAGTGGTGTTGATAGTATAAAAGGTGGATAAACACGATTTTTGACCCATGCACACGAGCACGTAGGTGTTTCAATTAATTTTTCTAATACCGATACTATTTCCATATTACATATTCAAAACGTCACCAACCTACTCACACATTGTTTCCTAAACAGGAATATTACCAATGGTTTTGATTGATCGATTAATAATCGAATAAATGATAAATGATAATCTAATAAATAATAATTAATATAAATAATAAAAACCTCAATCGCAACGATCGTTTGATAATGGAAAGATGACATTTCCATTGAAAAATATATAATAAATTATGTATATACACACGATACAATACAGAACTATATTGCAGAGTACACTTATTATTCTATAAACTTACATCCTCCCTCTTTTCCCATTGAAAGTATGTTTTTTCTTTGCGATACCAACTCATTTGTTAATTAATCAATCAATTATCTTTATTAATGATTTTTAGTTTGGCCTGCGACACACGGTATTGACCAGTCGCTTACAGTCTAATAGTATCAAATAAAATGTATATTATCCCGGAAATTGAGAAAAGTGACCATGCCAGATTAACTATATTAATAAATAAACAGCATATGTTCAAAGAGTAAATACCTTGTGCTCGTACATACACCATACAATAAGGATTCGTTGATGATCCCGAGGTATCAGCAAAGACTTCCGCTTCTTCAACCTACATAAATTTACAAATTAGTCATCGTCGTAGTCGTCGTAACGATAATCAAATATACACTTATCGAATCAGCAAATATATAAAAGTCTATAGAAAGTACCTCTGATACTTCAGTATCATTATATTTGAGCCACCGATCCAGCTCAAAATCGTATATGTATATCCAGTAGTGACCAAATGATGCTTGACCTTTTTTGTTTTTTATTATTGTTCATTTTTATCTATGGGTGTATACAGCAAGCAATTAAAAAAATATAATAAATGCAGTACCACTATGTATGAATACTGCATGTATCCGATATTCGCATTCTCTTAAATCGTCGTATTGATGTTTTAGCCGATCTTGCAGTTCAGCAATTTTTTCTTTCGTTTCTATTCGGTCGATCAATCAAAATGATACAATTAAAAAATGATACATGAATAAGACGAGAAGAATACATACAAGAGGCAATACACACAATGGCTAATGAAAGTACCTTCTTTCTGACTTTTTAGACGCTCGCTATCTTTTTTAATTTCAGCAAAATCTTTTTGATACTCCAAATCATCCGTAGCATCGTTTTCACACTGTGCGAGGATGAATCGGGTGGCTCTTTTTAGTATTTCATCGGGTGATAAACCGATCGTCTAGGATTCAATTAAGGATTACGAATTAACAAATATAATAATATTAATCAATTTGATACGGAGCATAGACACACCTTATCAATACCAAATTCATCAAGCACTTGAGTATACTGATCGATAAGTTGACTCCATTCACGTGCGTTTTTACGTCTTTCGCGCAACGTCTCACGGTACTGCTCCATATACCGATCGAGATGAATCACTTTGTCGAATTTGATGTAAGCATTTGATTTATATACATTTGAAGTAACTCGATCAAATTGTACTCGCTATTTACATGTAAATACAAACAAGAAAATATAGTAGATTAATGCAAAATTTCAGCATTGATAAATGATTCTTTACATACCTGTACTTGAATCTGTAGGATCGGAGGTAACTCGATAACTGTAACTTCGCGTTCAGCTCGTGTTCCGTTAAAGTCCACCTATGAAAAATATATGGAATAAAATAGGTCAGCAATAAATTTTCAAATTATTATTTTTTTCTCTATTTGGCCAACCTGTGATTCATCAAAATAGACATCAAGTCCACTATATAAGTCCCTTCCTTCTGAAACCACGACAATGTAAAACAAGACAAGAAAAGGTAAAGTTAAAGATGTCATTGTCAAAAAATGAATTTAATGAAATCTTATTATTGCAGGATATCAGATGGTTGAATGTCTCTTCTTTGGTAGCTTGGACCATTTCCCCGGAACTCGGATCTTGATATTTTAGCAATTGGTTTGTTTTCCCGTAAAATAGACTTTTGATCGAAATTCGAAAAATTGAAACATCAATATATGATTTTGACGTAACAGATAAAGTAAGGTAATATTAATAATAAGATACCTCACCTTTTTACTACATTTGCCTCGGTAGTATCAATAACAGTATCAAACTTATTGATTGTTGGCTTAAGGGCCGCTTCCAATTGAAACATGACATTGTCCATGCATTCTATATAGATATACAGAAATGGATAAATTTTGTTGATTACAGAAAATACTCAAGCGAACAAATATAAGTGTTTACCAGTCACATCTTGCTGTTTCCCGAATGGTATATTTGAAGATTTGAATTTATCTTGTTGTAGAGTACTTGTGGAACCATTAAGCGAATCAGAACCCAACGGAACCAAATTCTCGTAATTCTCTTTTCCTTTCCCTTTATCATCATCAACTAAAAACGGTTTCTCTTGACTACTATTACCATTATGATTATTGTTGTTTCTATCATGTGACGAAAAAATGTCTTTTTTCTGGGGCGAAGGAATTGCAATGTTTGGGCTTCCCACCTTGCCTTGCATCATCACTGTTTCCTCTTCTTCTATTACAGCTGCATCTAAATTCGCGAATGCATCATTTATTAGACTTGGATCGGTTGTTGGCGGTAAAAAAGGATCGTTAATTGGTGTTTGATCATTGACCATGAACGTGTTATACGCGTTTGTCGGAAGAGGTGGAGTAGTTGAAGTAGTATTTATAGGTGGTGTAGTTGAAGCAGCAATTATCGGTGATTTAGCAAATGATGATGATGATGATGTTATCGTCGTCGTCGTCGTCGTCGTTGCTGCTGTTGTTGTTGCATTTGTTAAAGTATCATTTTCATCCTTATTTAACATTGTTGCTGTTGTTGTTGTTTTAACAGATTCTTCATCATTTTTAGTGCTGACTAAGGCCATATAAGCCAATTCGTGATCAGGCGAGATGGATTTTTCGGATGTGTGCATTAAATTGGTAAAGAGAGTCCGAAGTAGACTGACAACTGATGATGATGCAAATCAACATCATTCGATGATAGTAATAATATTATTATAATCAATTAGAATTGAAAGTGGCTTTACGACACAACACGCAAACACACATCACACCATAATTAGTAGGTAATTTTTGACAACATCTTGTGTGTTTGTTTGTGTGCAATTTGATAATAATGATAATATAATAATAGATACATTTTTCTGCACTTTCAACCTCATTTTTGGTCACTTTACGTCCTCCAATAATTTTGCTTTCCCAATCTTGATCAATTTCTTCTCTTTCGTATGTGTCTGTGTGTAATACTGTTTCGCGCAGTTCTCGTATTGTAAAGTAGTACTGGTGAAATTTTATAATTGAATGAATGATGAAGATCAATACAAGAAAAGGTAAAATATCAAAAACAACGGTATCGTACATACTTGTAATAATGAATTCAAATAACAAGTATTCCCAATATTATTTAATCCAACAGGCCTTGAATCAACAATATATAATAAAATAATCAAAAAAGAATGGACACGTAAATCCACATATAAAAAAAGTGTAAATTCGATCGCGTTGATTCAAACCAAAGAAACACGAAGGCCTCCTTCACCTATCTTACATTCTCGAAGAATAATCAACCTTTTGAAACCCTAAATTATGATGATGATGTTAGCTTGTATATTTATTACATGTAATATACATATAACATTGAAAAAATATCGACCTTCTTCCGTTGCCAAAAACCTTGATATTATCGGACTCCGTTTTGCTTTGCCAATCACGGCTAATGCTTTACGTTGTCTAGGACTGTCAATAGGGTTATCAGCAGCCTATTATTAATAATAATAATAATAGTGAGAACAGATAAAGCTTAGACTGAAGAACAAACAAAATATCCACAAAAAATACCCGAATTCTGTAAATTTCTATTAATAGCTCATCAGTTATGGAAGTATCTTGAGCATCAAGGATCTCATAAGCGAGTTTTATATCTTTTTCTGTAGGATTTTCAGCATCTTGATGCAAGAAAAGGAATAATCATGATTATTATTATTTTCGTGTTTTCTTTATACAATATGTTGCCGTCAATTCGTGGATTCAAAAAACAATATGCTATATGATATAACTCACCCAGTGAAGCTCCATACTCCCAATTTGGAGGTATTATTGTGTCATTATCTGATTCTAACAGAGCATATGTGTTACTATTGTTAAGATGATTATTGTTATTATTCTTATTAGGTTTGCGCGCGGGAAGAGTTGGTGGTACTAAAATAAGAAACATTGAATTGATATCTTTTATGGTTTCTTTTGCAATAAATATTAATGATATTCATACCTTCTGAATTCGCCATGTTTATTTAAATCGCCTTAAGTGTTCGAAAGGAACAGAAAAAGGTGAGAAGGCAAAGAAGAATTGGTAAATCAACAAATTCTAAGCGTTTACGTAATTTAACAAAGCTACAGAGGACATTCCGATGCAATGTAAGAAAAAGGGAATAGATCTTTGCAGGAAATAAGTACCTTTATAAGCACAGAAGACCACAAGACAGAAGCAATATTGTAATAATAAAAACACTATTTTTTACAACTACTTTCAAGTTTTGACAATCTAGTAGTGACGAAGCTTTGGTGTTATAGTGCATGACGAAATATGAGAATAGCAGTAATAAGCAATACCTAATACCTAAAGGCGACTACTATCAGAATTCGAGATTTCTAGTAGTAGCAGCATGCGTTTTGAGTTTTTGGTGAAGTAAAAAACTCCTTGGGTTTATTATGTTTTCATACGTCATTTTTTTTTGGAATTTAGATCTACCACTACAAAATGGGTAATGAATGATAATGTTTAGAACCCGGCTTCAATCTTCATTGTTTCAAATCAGGATTGAAATTACATGTTATGTATTTTTAATCACATAAACACATTTTTTAAAATCGAAATTCAAATAGACTTGCAATATTGCAATACATATAATATACTAAACCATCAGACTTTTTAATTCCCTTGATAAGCTCTCGAGATTAGAGCTCTTGTTCAAATCATTAGGATTTGAATTCAAATTCTTCTACTCGAAACATTATAATTCGTGATAATGAACTCAGATCGCCGTTCCATTCGCTGAATTAAATATATAAAGATTAAACACAAAATGATAATAATTATTGTTTATCATTAATAATACCGTACCGCAAAGCTCTGACATTTCTTGGGTTCATTAAATCGGGTATTTCTTAATAGAAAAATATCGTAATCATTGATTAAATAAAAATACGAACATATCGAAAAATAAATAAATACATGTAAATACAGAGATAAATGAAAATATACCAATTCCATCCTTAAACTCTTTTCTTTCTTTCTCTTTCATAGCAAGCAACATCTCTTCTCTGGTAGATCTAGGACGTCTATCACGGTGGAGGCCTAGGAGTTCAGTATCGTTACGAGATATATATCTATCATCATTAAGTTATTGTTATTATTATTTTATAAGGGAAATAGTGATTGCTGCTGTTGATAAATTTGAATAATATTAATACTTTTCAATGAGCTCGTATATTTCAGATTTAGTAAGATGCTCAAGGGACGATAATGATGACGGTATTTCAATTAGAGCATCTCTAAACCACAAGAGCCTGTTAACTGATAAATTCAAATTCAAATTCAAATTTAATTAATTGATTAATTAAATTAAATTAAATTAAATAAAATTAAATTAAATGAAATTAATTGATTAAATTAAATTAAATTAAATTAATTGAATTGCATTGAATATTATTAGCATTACCAGTATAATTCCTATTATTATTATTTCGCTCCTTAGTTTTTTGTAACCGCTCAGCTCGAAGTAAGACTCGTTGCAACTGTGTAGCTTTTCTTGAAGAAGGATGGATAACTTTGTCGGTTGAGAGTTTTTTCCTAAGGGTATTGGAGATAAGATTGACATTTTTATTGCTAGTCGTAGTTTTAGATAGTTGGTTTGGCGTGTGTCGCTTACTTTTTGGCTAATTATTAAAAAAAGTTAGTTAAGTAAATGCAAAACATGATGTTGAAATCTTATTTTCCGGATTGTTTACCATGATGAAAAACGTGCATAAAATTTTTTCAAGATATGATTCAAAAAATAACAAACTTGAAAAATAAACGTCACTGCAACGACAAGAAATGCTTTGGTATACCACTTCACGGAAAACCTTTTTCAAAAGGTAAAGCAGTTTATCAATCGTTATGCTAAAAACACTTAACGTTAAGCACGTTGAAGCTGCAAAACAGGAGTAACTGCTTTTTTTCTTTTGAATTCTTTGTATAAATCTTCATAAGGTGATAATCTCAAAAATTTAAACAAAAAAGCTCAATGTTAAATATCAACATCGAATTCCCATTCGGCGAAGAAATTCGGCAGTCCCGTGACATCAAGCCACACAAGCCTCAATTTTTTATTGGTCTGAGTTAAAATATAAGCAGATTGGTTATTACTGGTGTTATTCGTTGAATCCGGCATTCTTTCATTTGAAAGATTTTGGGCTTATTCCTGCTGAGCTATTGACTGTTTGTGTTTTATTTAGGTTTTGCATCGATTTAAAAAAAGAACAGAAGTGAAAAAAGATTAGATCAATAAAAGTATCTTTATAATAAATTGCTAAAATATTATGCAGAGTATTGGTTTATCTAACTTTTTAGTTCAAAGTCACTTCAAATAGTACTTTAAAGATGAATTTTTTATTTAACTTGTAAACACAAAATTTTAAGATTTTATATTTATTATTTGAAAATCCTTTTATTTATTGTTAAATCAACTTTTCTTTTTTTAATAATATCAAATTAATTATAAATACTTGATTTACTTTTCTTAGATATAACATCTAGTTTATTCAAAGAATTTTGTAATATGTTATTTCAAGGATTATTTATTACATACCTCTACACTATATTACCAGAAATTGAAAAAAAAATAGTAAAACATAGTAAAATTAACATTATTGCTTTATATTAAAATTTATTATTTTATTAATAAATATTTATTTTAGTATAAAAATAAATATTTATTAATAAAATAATAAAGTTTAATATAAAGCAATAATGTTAATTTTACTATGTTTTACTATTTTTTTTCAATTTCTGGTAATATATTATAAGAGTGTGTATATAAATTCTTATAAGATTTTTTTTCAAAATAGATAAATAAATAAAAGTATTAATATTTATTATCTAATATTATTTTAATAAAAATATTCATTTTTTTAGATATTATAATTATTAAAAATATTTAATTATATATACAAGTAATTCTCATTATAGTAAACTCTCATTATAATAAAAACTAATTAAATTTTTAAATTAGTTTATAATAAATTCTCTTGTTATAGTAATTTACTAATAAATTCTCAATATAGTAAATTTTTGAAGATTTTTTACTAATAATATAGATATTTTTATCATAATGAGAGTTACTTATATATTATTTAAAATTTAGCTTTATTTTTTTATTTTCTAAAATATTATTTAATATATATTTTTAAATTAGAAATAATTAATAATATAAATTTGTATTAAATATTTGTATATTAGATAAAAACTAAGTAATAACAAATATTATTTATCAATATTTATATAAAAATTTGATTTTGTCAAGATTTTTTTAATTATTTGTTTATCAAAATAAAAATATTATATTTTTGTCAAGTATTTATTATATTTAGAATTAAAAATAATATAATAATTATTATAATATAATAATAAATAAAGTATTATTTAGTAATTTATAAAATTTTAAAATTGCAATATATTATAATAAATTATAAATAAATATTATATATTTGCTATATTATTTTTATTTAGAATTAATTATATTATTATAATATATTTCAAATAATATTTGTTATAATAATTATATTTGTATTTTAGAATTTATTAATAACATTTAGTAATTATTATAATTCTTGTTATAGTACATAAAATCTAAAGTCATTAAATATTATATTTTATAAAATATATAAATTTCTTTATCAAAAGTAAATACAAAATTTAATTCATAAATATGCTTAGAAAAAACTTATTCTATTATATTTACAGATTAAATTTTGTATTTATTTTTAATAAAAAAGTTTATATATTTTGTAAAATACAAATATTTAATAATTTTAGATTTTATATATCATATAAAAATAATTTTTGGATAAAATAAATAAGCAAAAAGCTTATAATTTTTTATTATATTAATTTATTTATAAATAAATAATATTAATTTATTAGTAATATAATTAATTTTTTATAAAAGTTTTTTTTACAAAAATTTAATTATATTAAACTTTAAACTACTTTAATAATATATTTTATTAAAATAAAAAAAATATTTAAATTTATTAATAATAGTAAATGAAAAATTAATTTCTTTTATATTCATTTTAAAATATAAAAAATATTATCTTTTTATAAAAAATAAAATGATATTATAAAAATATAATACTTATTTATTATTAATATTTTATTAATAACAATTTATTATAATAAATAATAAACAATAATTAAATATTATATAATTAAAATTCTATTTTAATAAAAAATTAATTTAAATTAATAATGTATTTTATTATTTATATTTTTATTAAATAATATAATCTAATATAAAAATATTAATATATCAAAAAGTAAAAGTAAACTTTTTTAATTAAAAATTTATAATTTTTTATACTATTAAAAATATATTTAATCTAATTATTTATAATATTTTTATTTTTTTATTATTTTTTTAATAAAATTTTAAATAAGATAAAACTTTTTGAATTTTTTAAAAAAATAAATTTTAATATTTTTTTATAAATATATAATATTGTAAATTTATACTAAACAAATATATTAATATATATATATAATAAATATATATTTTAAATTTTAACAAAATTGAATTACTAATTATTGATTACTACTATATATAAACAAAAATAAAAATTTTATTAATTAATAATTTTTGAATTTGATTATTTTAATTTTTTATATAATAATTTATAGTTATTTTTTATAATTTTTATATAGTAAAAAAATTAAATTTTTAGTCTTTAAAGCTTAATTTCTCAATATTAAAACAAATTTATTAATAAAATATAGTAAAAATATGAAAAATATGAGTTTTTCTCTTGATATAAAAATTTTTTAATTTTACTAATAAATATTTTTTATTTTTATATTCAAATAAAAATAATATTACATATTTTAATATATATTTTTTTCAGATTTTTTAGATTTAATTTAATAAAGCTATTTTAATTGCATATAAAATCAATTATTTTTTTATATGTTTTTATTATTAAAAAATA